GAGGCCGCTGCCTCCATCCATCAGTACCTTGGTGAGCCGCTTCATGCTGATGATCAGGTTGACCATGAGTGGATATCTCCTTAGTTGTGGGACGCTCTCCAATTGGTCGATCCAATCAAAGTTTATGGCAGACTCTGACCATCGGAGGAAGACAAGCGTGGCCGGTTCAGCCGTATAGACCTCGCAGCATGTGAACTTATAGCGGCGCTTACAGTCATAGGCCACTGACCCTCCAAAGATCATGAGGTAGCCATCTAGCGTCGAAAAGCCACCGTCCCTCCCCTCGATGTCATCCGTGATCGGCTTGGGGTCCTTCCTATGCCCTCCCTTGTTGAAGCCTCCGAACAAGAACTGCTTCATGAGGCTGTAGTCCTTGTATAGATGCTTGATAGGGAAGGAATGGTTTAGGCATGGCCCTTCGAGCAGCTTCTTGAAGTGGTCTAGGGTACCCTCCACGGGTTTCTGGCCCCCTTGGGGTTGGAGGTGGCCATGAGCGAGCCCTCATGCCACTGCTTGTTCTTCTTCTTGACAAGACGGTTGAAGACGCCTTCGCTGGTGTCCTCATCCCGCTTCACCTTGCCTTTGAGGCAGTTGAAGATCGCTCTGACCCCCTCCTCGCGCGAGGCATGTCTAGTGGCGATGTCGAGGAGCTCCTTAGTGATTCGTGGGCCCTTACATCCTAGCTATGAACTGGGGACTCGTAGGTGGTCCCAGATAGGAAAGCTCCTATAACGTCGGCGTCGGCGACGTTAGGCAGCTCGTTGCACTACCGGGAGAAGCACCGGATGTACCCACGGAGAGTTTTCCGGCCTTTTGTCGGCAATTTTTGAGATCCCATGGGTTCCCAAGACGCTTGTACATGCCCTAGAAGTTCCCCACAAAGATCTCTTTTAGGTCCACCCAACTTTGGATTCTGTTGGGTGGAAGGTGTTCCAACCATGTTCGTGTCGAATCGGCCAGGAACAACGGAAGGTTGCGGATAATGAAGTCATCATTATCCGCTCCACTGGCTTAGCAAGCAAGCCGATAATCCTTGAGCCATAGTCCGGGGTGCGTCTCCCAAGAGTATTTCAGGATGTTAGTTGGTGGGCAGTACCATGGCAGGAAGGCGGCGTTGAGGATGTGTGGGCCGAAGGCCTGAGGTCCCGACATGCTGGGGCTCGAGCTTTGGTCCTCGCTGCTGTCATAGCATCCACCATGATGAGGGTAGTAGCCACGGCGAGCTCCCTCCCCCACATCGCCACGGGTACACCTGCGGGCGTCGAGGGTGTCGCGCGCGTCATGGTTATGTCCTAGACACTCATGCACCGGGACCGCGGTGCATAGCTTGTCGCCTTGTCGGGTCGCTCCAAGGGCGTGCACTGGCTGGCGTCGAGCTCGCATCATCAGGACAATAAGCTTTTGGCTTGCTGCGCCGCCGCACACTCGAGTAGCATGTGAATCTCATGATGGGCCCAATGATCCTCAGGCGTTATGGGCCCCGAAAGCCCACGGAGCAAGGCTGCAACATCAACGATGTTCTAGCTTGCCCGGGCAAAGTGTGGGAGGGCTTTATAGTCCTCGATGATCCTCCAGTTCACATCACAGGCCATGGCGCAGCACGCCCACCGTGTCGATGGTGCTCGATCTCTCGATTGAGCTCTGTGTGTTCCTGCTCGAGCTGGAGTCATGCTTCCTCGAGCTCTCGGTGCCAGGCCTTCAGCTGCTCCATACACAAGCAGGGTGGAGCCCCTATATCCCCCTTGACCTCATTGTCGAGGTCGTTTGTCGGGGTAGCCTCCTCCTCGTGGATGCTTTCGACGTGTCCCTTGGGGGTACCTATCATAAAACATTCACGAGATGGGTGATGGCTCCCCTGCTGGAGTTAGAGGCAGAGGGCAACTCTGTTTCTTCCATGAGGAGGTCGTGGAAAGACTCCGCGACATATTCGGTCATCCCTACGAACTCATCGTTCATTTGGAAAGGATGCGCGTGTTGCACCACAAGGTGGCCAACGGTCTCTACGGCATTACGGAGACCGAACGGGAGCACTATCGGGGTGCTCCAGATGGGGTATTCCAGAGAGAGTGGCTCCCCTCTAGCAAGCTATGCCATGACATTGGTGAATGAGAAGGTGAGGTGGTGCAGGCCCCCTAGGACGGTCGGGGTCCTAGGAAGGCGCCGAGCTGGCGCTCTAACCTCCCATAGTCGAAGTCAAGGAGCTAGTCGCTTTCGAGGGCATGGGCATCTAGTGCGTGCAGCTACAGCTCCTCAAGTGCCTCGGCGATCACGTTGAGGCTGGTGGAGTGGAGAGGTTGGACGGCGGCGGGAGCCATTGCCAACTCTCCCTCTGTCGTGATGATGAAGTCTAGGTCCCCGAAGCGCACGTGCGCGCTCGGAACCTAGCTAAGGTTGTGACTTGCCATCCGAGGCCTGGTGTGGATTTCAAGATGCGCAAAAGGCCCCTACCTAGCGTGCCAACTGTCGGTGTTTTGAGTTGCCACCGACTAGTAAATTTCTAATATTGCGCGTCTGGCTCGGATGATGTACTAACAAGACATGAGGTTTATACTGGTTTAGGCAGAATGTCTCTATGTCCAGTTCGTTGCTGTTGCTCATGTTACTAGCACTGAAAGTTTATAGTAGGGGTTACAAATGGTCGAGAGAGAGACAGGTACCAGGTCTCTAATGAGAGGAGCAAACGGGTGCCAAGAGCTTGGTCACCTCCCAGCTATGTGCTTTGTGTGTTCTGATCGGTTTAGGGTTCGATGGGTTCTAGTCTGACTCAATGCTATGTGTTGCGATCCCCCTTATGGGACATCCTACTTTTCCTTTTATAGGCCAAGGGAAATCACGAGTTATAGTGGAGGGAAAAGAGGAGGATGAGAAGGAGAAGAAGTCCTCCAAGATTGCTGGGTCCTTCTTTTCCTTCATGTGGGTTTGGCTGACCCTATAGACGTCAACAGGGATAGCTACACATTGTGACCCTGTCCATCATTGGTGCCATGCGCAGGCGACGTCTCCCGGTCGTGGTGCTCAACTCCGTCCTGGCGGACATCATGGTGAACTGATGCGCCAGTTAGTGCTCGTATGAGGGTTAGGTAGAACAGCATCGGTACGCCCGACGCTGTTCCTGATGTGAATCCCCAGGTATGGCCCGTCATGGCCAAGGGTTATATCAAGGCATGCCAATCACCTCTCTGGTGTCAGAGCTTTGACCCAGGCCCATTTGCTTGGACTTGGAGTGGTTGGCGGTGGTATGGGTCTTCATCGGGCGAGATGGATCCCTCGGCCTTGGGGTCGGTCGAGGCGGAGTCCCCCCCAGAGGCTAGGCGAGATGGAGCTAGCCTTCGGAGGTTGAGTGAGGCAGAGCCTGCGGCCTCCGCGGCCTCAATGTCAGGCGAGGCAGAGCCCGCTCTTAGAGGTCGAGCGAGTCGGAGCGCAAACCCAAGGGTCAGGCGAGGCAGAGCCTGCCCCTAGAGGTCGGGCGAGACGAAGCATGTAGCCTCGGTGTCGGGCGAGGCGGAGCCCGCCCCCAGAGGCCGAGCGAGGCAGAGCTAGCCCTCAAAGGTCGAACAAGGTGGAGCCCACGACCTCAGTGTCAAGCGAGGCGAAGCCCGCCCTCAGATGTCGGGCGAGGCGGAGACCACCCCTAGAGGCCAGGCGAGGTAGAGCTTGCGCACCTAGGGGTCGGTTGGAGCTATAGTTGCACTTTTGACTGCTCAAATGAATCAATGTTGATGGTTATTAGCTCCTCCTCTTCGGGTACCCTAGTATTAGTCCCTGATAGTCGGCGTGCCCGTGCTGCTCGAGTATCTCGTCCAAGCAGCAAGGTGACATTTTTTTTGCGCACCGCATATTGCAAGCTTATGTTTCAAGTGTTTCAAATGATTCATTTGGATGTTGCAGGTGTTTAATCGTGATGTTGCACATGTTGGAATGGCTATATACGTATGTTTCAAGTGTATGTTCTAAATGTTTCAACTATTTTTTCAGACGTTCGTTGCAAGTGTTTCATTTCAATGTTGCATATGTTTCACACATGTGTTGCAAGTGTTTTATATGAATGTTGCATATGTTTGCAATGGTTTTCAAGAGTTTTCAAGTGTTTTAGACGCATGCTGCAAGTGTTTCAGATGTTTCATACATATGTTGGAAGTTTCATTTGTATGTTTCAAAAGTAGATTGAGATGCTGCACGTGTTGCAATGTGACCTGTCCCGCCACAACTGCCTGCTGCAGTTGCTTGGGCATCGTGCATGCATGTGGGGGAGCGAAGGGATGGAGCGCTGCTCGGCAGCGGGGATAGGAAGCGGAGGGCGATGGCGGCAGGTGCATCTAATCCCCGCGTAGCATGCGGGTGCAGCAAACGGAGGGGGTGCAGGAGTACGGACAGAGACGCGAAGTAAGGGCGCAGGCGTCCGCTAAGAGGCATAAAATGGGGGTGTAGTTTTCTAGGAGCAGTAGACGCTGGCGTTACGCGCAGAAACATACTGTAGCCATGGGCGTCCGAACGCGGACGTCGGTCCGAGCGTTCGGGTGCACGTCTGTGCAGACGTTTGGGTGCTAGCAGTGCCATGCCACAAAAGGCAGCAACCAGCCTGCACAACGTTGAGTCTGGTCTTGGGACGAAAATAGAACAGGACCATCCAATTCAATGACAAAAGGACTCTTGTGCACCAGCCTTCCTTCCTTATGGCCGCACGCCTGCAAAGTTCAAATATACCGAGTTGAGTCGGCGCTGCTGCGGACCATGGATGGCGGAAGAAAATTCGTTTCTTCACGTCGGGGCCGCATCCAACCGCTAGCTTTATTCTTGTGCAACCATCATGCATGCCTGCCCGTGCCCGCAGTGCCAGCCAAACACCCTTCATGCTCGTGCATGTGCATCCCATCCCTGATCCAACCTCCGATCTGTCCCCATTATTTTCTCCCCGATCCTCTCCTTCCTTCCTTCCTCCCGGGCGGCCCCTCGATTCGCTCCCAGGCCGATCGTCCGCAACCGCAAGACATGAGATGAGAATGACACCTACCACGCCGGCGCCGTGTGGCGCCGATGACAGAGCTGTAGCCAGTAGCCGTCGTGAATCGTCGAGCGGTGGGCCGGCTCCTCCTGTGGTGACGATGACGACGATGAGGATTATGGTGTGGATGCTCCGCGGGGACCGGGTGGCGCTGGACGTCGACGGTGCTGCCACCATGGCGCAGCTCAAGGACATGGTCATGGCCCATGAGGGCGTCGCCGTAGGTGCCTAGAGGCTCCTCTTCGCCGACCGACACCTCGACGATGATGGCCTCCCCGTCACGCACTACGGCGTGTGCCATGGCTCCATCGTCTTCCTCAGCCTTCGCCTCCGCGCTGACAATGCCTCATAGTCACCGTACGTGCTCGCTGCTAGTTTCGGTACACACACGCTTCATGCTTGCGTGACCAACTGACCATTCCATCGCCATAGAAGGCAGGAGATGCGTAACGTGCAAACGCAGCCAGAGCAGGCTGTAATGGATCTAGATCGTACTAGGGGTAGATTCGAGGGGCTACTAGCTATTGGATGAACCAAAACCTAGGACATGTTCTAGACAGAGACATGGACACAGAGAGGATGGACAAGGGCTGTCGAACCTGACACCGCAGAGGGGGAGGGTTTAGAGGACGCCATCACGTTCGTCGGTGTAGTCTATACACGGGCAGCGACGGTCGGTGAAGAGGGCGATGAAGACGTCGACGTCGATGGAGCGGGCGGCGTGGCTGGTGACTTCCCATCATGGGCCGCGCCCCTCTAGATCGGATTAGGATTTAGGTGTCGGTGGGGAGCTCGGCTCAGGCGAACCTCGTGACTTGAGCCACCGGCCCCCACCTCTATTTATTACGCAGTGTGACAGGAGCCCTCCGGCCATAGTGGGCTGGGCGCCCCCGATTAGGACACGGATCAAAGGCCCAACTGGGCCGTTGGGCCTAGTTTGGGATTGAGATCAATCTAACAATCTCCTCCTTGATCTCCTACCATCTTTCAATTTCATATCATTTACTTTTGTTCATTCAATTATAGATTAGCGCGTAGAGCATGTTTCATCATCACGGTCAATTGCTGATAGATTTAACAGCTACAACACACCACTCTGTTCTGAAATAGATACTTAACTTTGGGCCTTCTTTTGTCTAAGAATTATAGGCTTTCCCTTAAACCCATGTCAGCTACATGTTCCCTAAACACGTTGGGTGGTAAGCCTTTTGTAAGCGGATCCACGAGCATCTTTTTGGTACTTATATGCTCAAGACTTATGACATGATCCCGTACTTTATCTTTCACAACATAATACTTTATGTCAATGTGTTTGGCAGCACCACTAGACTTATTGTTGTGAGCATACTGTATTGCTGGATTATTATCGCAGTATAATTTAAGTGGTCTATAGATGTCGTCAACCATCTTCAAACCGGGTATGAACTTCTTTAGCCAGTTCACCTGCCCTGTTGCCTCATAACACGCTACAAACTCGGCATACATTGTGGATGATGTAGTGACAGTTTGCTTTGAGCTTTTCCATAAAATAGCTCCCCCTGCGAGAGTGAATACATATCCAGACGTGGATTTTCTATCATCTCCCGCATAATCAGAATCTGAATACCCCACTATATGGAGTGAATATGATCCTCTATTCGTCATCATGAGGCCTTTCATTTCTTGTAAATAACGCAAGACTTTCTTTACTAATTTCTAGTGTTCTGTTCTAGGATTGCTCTGGAATCTACCAAGTAACCCGGTAACAAATGCCAAGTCAGGGCGTGTACATACTTGAGCATATTGCAAGCTTCCGACAGCTGAAGCATATGGAACCGCTTTCATTTGATCGATCTCATATTGGTTCCTAGGGCATTGAAAATCCCCATATCTGTCGCCCTTGACTATAGGAGCAGGTGAGGGACTACATTTGTGCACACTGAATTTCTTTAAGATTCTTTCTATGTATGCCTTTTGTGACAGTCCTAATACCTCTTTACTTCTATATCGGTGAATCTCGATCCCTAGAATGAACGAGGCTTCACCAAGATCTTTCATATCAAATTTTGAGGATAAAAACTTCTTTGTCTCCAGTAGTAGACTAACATCACTACTAGCAAGTAAGATGTCGTCCACATACAGGACAAGGAAGATAAACTTCCCATTCTTAAACTTTGCATAGACATAATTGTCCTCAATATTCTCTTTAAACCCAAAATTCCTTATTGTCTGATCAAACTTCAAGTACCACTGTCTTGAAGCTTGTTTTAATCCATAAATGGATTTCTTTAGGCGGCATCCCATTCGTTCTTTTTCTTACATGACAAAACCTTTCGATTGTGCTATGTAAACATTTTTCGCCAAGTCTCCGTGTAAGGATTCCTTTAGAATCATAATGGCATTAGTGGCATATTACGATTTAGAATTACATCAGATGGATGTATATGGATTTCTTTAGGCGGCATCCCATTCGTTCTTTTCCTACCATGACAAAACCTTTCGGTTGTGCCATGTAAACATTTTCCTCTAAGTCTTCATTGAGAAATGCCGTCTTTACATCAATCTGATGTAATTCTAAATCATAATGTGCCACTAACGCCATTATGATTTTGAAGGAATCCTTACATGAGACTAGAGAAAAGGTCTCATTGTAATCAATCTCTTCTCTTTGTGTAAAACCTTTTGCCACAAGTCGCGCTTTATATCTCTTTATATTCCCTTGAGAGTCAAGTTTTGTTTTGTAGACCCATTTACAGCCTACTGTTTTGGCTCCTCTAGGAATTATTTCCAAGTCTCAAACTTTATTGGCATTCATTGATTTCATTTCATCTTCCATGGCCTCAAGCCACTTTGATGAATGATTACTTCGTATGACTTCTTCAAATGAGGTGGGATCATCCTCTATTTGAAATTCCTCAATGTTGTATACTTCATAGTCAGCAGGAATAGCTAATTTTCTAACTCTTTGAGACCTTTTAGGGGCCTCCACATTTGGCACATCTTCTATTTGAGGCTGTTGTTGCTCCCCCTCATGTGTGGCAATAGGTTCTACAGGATCCTGAAGAACAGGTTCCTCATCGGCATTCATTGTTGTCACAGGCAGAATAACAACAGGTGCTGGCACCACAGTATCTTGCACTATTGGTGTAGCGACAGCAGGTAGTGAGAAAAATAGCTCATGAATCATCGAGTGGGCGCATACACCCGCTTCTCTTCAAGGTCAATTTCTTGGGCTATCATGCTCCCTCTCATCATTTCATCCTCTAGGAAGACATCGTGTCTCATTTCCATAAACTTTGTATGTCTGTCTGGATAGTAGAAACGAAAACCTTTTGACTTTTCTGGGTAGCCAATGAAATGGCAACTTACTGTTTAGTGATGGTACTCTTCCTGTCCACAACTCATACGGTGTTTTGGGCGCCGACTTACTTGGTACTCTATTAAGAATATGAATGGTGGTTTTTAACGCCTCCATCCACAGGCTCAACGGTAAGGTGGAGTAACTTATCATACTACGCACCATATCCATCAGGGTACGATTGCACCTTTCAGCTACTCCATTCTGCTGAGGTTCGCCCGGTATAGAATACTGGGCTACTATGCCATTCTCCTGTAAAAACCTTGCAAAAGGTCCAGGAACTTGGCCATATGGGGTATGCCGACCATAGTACTTCCCCCCATGGTTGGACCTAACTATCTTAATATTTAAATTGTGTTGGTTTTCAACTTCTGCCTTAAATATCTTAAATTTATCCAATACTTCTGTTCTTTCTTTGATTGGATAAATGTAGCCATAACGGGAGTAATCATCTATGAATGTTATGAACGAATCATAACCATCCACACTCTTTACAAGAAACGGACCACAGATGTCTGTGTAAATAATCTGTAAAATTCCTACGTTTCGTTTGACATCTTTTTTATTTTTCTTTACATACTTTTCTTTTATACATTCTCTGCATTGTTCTAAATCTGAGAGCTCTAATGGAGGAAAAATATCATTCTTAACTAGTTTTTTATTCTCCCCCTCGAAATATGGCCTAAACGATAGTGCCATAATTTCGACAACGTATCGTGAGCTCTCTTTCATTTTCTGTTTACATCCACAGACGAGGATACATTCTCATTGTCGCACGCAACGTTTCCATCATCGCATACAACATTCACATCATCACGTAGTGATAACAAATAAAGCTCATTTTGTAAGATAGCAAGACTAACACAAGCATGAAACACTAATCAAGTTTTTCTGTAGAGAGGGAACATATAGTACATCTCTAAGTAAAAGTGTGAAACCATTAGCAAGCTCTAGAGAAAGATCGCCAACGGCTTCAACATCTGCTCGGACTCCATTTACAACTTTAACGTGTCTTTCGCTTCTTTACGTAGTCCTCGTCGAACAGAATGCCTATAAAAAATTAGCAATATGAACAGTTGCACCTGAGTCAATCCTCCAAGTAGATTTTGAATACTGTACATATAGGGATTTATTTATAAACGTAATAATGTTCTCACCTTTCTTTGCCATGATCATCTTTAAGTAATCGGGACAATCTTTCTTATAATGTCCCGTCTTCTTGCAATAGAGACGCTGGTCTTTCTCTACTGTGAACTTGTTCTGCTGAGGCTGATGCAGCATGGGACCCTTTCCCTTTGACTTTGAGGAGGAGTTAGCATTAGTATTCTTTTTCTTGTTGTCTTTAAGATAATTGATAGTGCCACCATTGGCAGCTTTCATTCTCTCCTCCTCTTGCACACACATAACCATGAGCCTCTCCATGTCTCACTTCTCGGGCTGTATGTTGTAGTTGACAATAAAAGTGTCAAACTCTTTTGGCAAGGAAGCAAAAATCAGATGGATAAAGAATTCTTCCTTGAGAGCTAGATCCATTGGTTTTAGTTTAGATGCCAAATTGCTCATCCTTAGTATGTGCTCTCTTATACCATCATTACCAGAGTACCTCTCTGTCACCAGCTGCTTTTATCAGCTGGGTATCATATGTCTTTGAAGAGTCAGTGAACTGACTCTTTATTCTATCAAGATACTCGGTGACCGTGTCACACTCTGGGATTGAGCCCACAATTACAGGCTCAATCGCGTTCTTTATCACAGCCAAACATTTTTTGTTGGCAGTGACCCACTTTCTATGCTCAAGGTCATATGACATCTTTTTGGGATGCAAAAGCTCTCTCTCTGGTTGCCCAAGCGGCATCAGCCTCGTTTGTCTCCCTCATCGGTGCCACAGGCTCTGTGGGACATGGTGAGGTGACTACCCAGTCCACCTCAGCCAAGATGAAGGCTAGGTCAATCTTTTTCTTCCACTCCGTGTAGTTATCACCTTTGAGAGTGGGGATCTCTTTGATACAACCCATTAAGTTATCTCCGCCTAAAAACACAATTCATATTGAGTGAGAACATAAATAATAACAATAACAATTGCATTCCTTAGTTCCAACGTTGGTCAAAATTAAAACATACAATTGTCCTCCACTAATTTTACATCACCGTTGTGCAGAAATAGAATTAATGCATGACAAAACTCATCATAATATTGTCATTAATCAACGTTGGTCAGAATAATAACAATATTATAATAAGCTAACAACATATCCATTTTTCAAAATTAAGTTCTCCCGTTGGTTTGAATTTAATAATGAAAATAATAACTTTAAATACGCAGCGGAAAAATAATCTCAATTTTGTGAATTTTACCGATAGAAAAATTCTCTTTTCTATTTTCTTTAAGCCATTTATCCATTTTCTAGGAGATAAAACTTTTACTTGAAAAAGAAAAAATAAAAAATGACTCAAAATGAATATAGTTCTTCAGCCCACCCGGCAAAAACAGCCCGGCCCACTTCTCTGCGCGCGCGCTACCCGCACCCAGGCCGCAACCTGGGCCTAGGCCGGCAAAGCCTCGCGGCGCGCTCGCCCGCCTGGGCCGCGATGCGTCCCGTGCATCCGGCGCCGTTGGATTCAATCGGACAGCCGAGCGGTGAGATCGGGTGAACAAAACCACCGCAGCCAAACCCTCATTCGCGCCTCTCCTTCTCTCTCTCACTCTCTCAGCCGCAGCGAGCGCACCGAGCGAGCGAAGCTGGCAGCCATGGCACCGTCGCCTGCCCCCTCATCGGCGTGCGGGCTCCCCAGCGGGTGAGCGCGCCGCCGTCGAGCGGCCTGGCCGCGGCGCCCCCTTGGTCGAGCCCGGCGAGCAGCTCCTCGGCTTGGCCCTTTCTTCTCCTCACGCGCCGGCGAGGCAGCAGCACTGCACAGCGGCGAGGTAAGCCAAAATGGCTCTTCCTCTTCTCCCTTTCCCCTTCTTTCTGGGATTAACCCGATTTAGGGATGGGGTCAAAAATTAGGGTTAGGGTTTCGGGATGGACACTGTTCTTCTTCCCTAGAGGGACTTTATGGATTTTAGGGTTCGGCATCGCATGCCGAGCTCTCCATCTCTTCTTTCTTTCACCCAATTAAGGTTAGGGTTACACCAAACCCTCTGTTCTTCTTAGACCCGCACTGTATCTAACCTTCTACTTCCTTTTCTAATCGGTTTCTAGCCTTTGTCGTGACCTACACCTTGCAAACTGGTTCTGATACCATTGTAATGGATCTAGATCGTACTAGGGATAGATCCGAGGGGCTACTCGCTATCGGATGAACCAAAATCTAGGACACGTTCTAGACAGAGAGACATGGACAGAGAGGATGGACAAGGGCTGCCGAACCTGACACCGTAGAGGGAGAGGGTTCAGAGAACGCCATCACGTTCGTCGGTGTAGTCTGCACACGGGCAGCGACGGTCGGTGAAGAGGACGATGAAGACGTCGACGTCGATGGAGCGGACGGCGCGGCTGGTGGCTTCCCATCACTGGCTGCGCCCCTCTAGATCGGATTAGGGTTTAGGTGTCGGTGGGGAGCTCGGTTCAGACGAACCTCGTGACTTGAGCCGCCGACCCTCACCTCTATGTATTGCGCAGTATGACAGGGGCTCTCCAGCTATAGTGGGCTGGGCGTTCCTAATCAGAGCGCGAATTAAAGGGCCAACTGAGCTGTTGGGCCCAGTTTGGGATTAAGTTCAATCTAATACAGGCCAGTCACGACCGTGAGCCAGCTACTGATGATTGACCAGCAGCTGGTGATGCGCTTCGAAGACGGCGACGACCACGGCGGCGGCGGCTGCGGCGAGGAGGAGGCCGTCGTCAAGACCACGAGGCCGCCGGTGTCGCGGCGGTCGCTCCGCAAGATCCTGTCGCGGCTGCACGTGGACGTGTGGACGGCCCAGCACGACGCCAAGCTCCTGGACCTTCTGCTGCTGCGGCGAACGCGCGGCGGCGGCGGCGTGGGCGACCTCACCGCGGACGACTGGTCGGCCATCCGCGCCGAGCTCAACGCGGCCGCCGGGTCCGCGTTCCCCGTCGAGGACCTGCAGCGGCGGCTGGCCGAGCTCCGGCGCGAGTTCGACGCCGTCAGCCGGATCAAGGACCACCCCCGGTTCACCTACGACGCGCGCCGCCGGGTCGTCGTCGCCAAGGAGGCCGAGTAGAAGCGCTACGTGCTGGTTCGTGCGGATTGCTGCATGCCTGCTGCTGAGTTGATCGATCGTACGCACGTATCACCCGGATGATCTTCTCCTAATGACCTACTTGATTTCCACGGCGGTTTCAGGAGAACCCGGATGCGGTGGCGTATGAGGGGAGAAGCACGCACTTCGGTCACCTCCGGGCGATCTTCTCCGGCGGCGGCGGCGTGGCAGAGACGCGCGGGAACGGCGGGCCCATGCGCCGCGAGTCGCGGGCCAAGAGATGCCTAAGAAAGCTGCTGAGCAGCTTTGGGCTCCTGTGCAAGCTGTGAGCCTGTGACAACGGTGACACTTGTGTGCTAGCTAGTGGATGCACATGCTGACATGCGAGCTGACACGATTGGTCAAAAGCTCCGTTGCACGCATTGTGTTGTGTACAGAAAGGACCTCGTTTTCTTCCGGCTTCGTTTCGTGCGTTTCAGACTGTCAGTGAACTAGTAGGTTCATCGAGTTTCCTTTTTTCACCTTTTCTTTTCTGATCTCATGAACCAAAGATCGACCTTTTGTGGTATCAAAAGTCTCGAAACATAGTTTGTTCACAACTTCTATGTTGCAGGTGACTTTTGAGTCCACCGCTAGTGAGGTTACCGGAAGGCCATTTTTGGGTTTGGTGGGTCCAATGGATTTACTTTTTTTTCGTGTACGCATTTTTTTCTCCTCAACGTGATATGCTCTCCTACTGTGACCATTTGGTTGTGCACTGAGCGTATACGCTTTAAAACAAATTTTACTATTTTCTTAATTTCTTATTATGCACAATTTTAGAGTTATGGAGAGCAATCGAAAAAAAAATTATTTTCTTGAAAAGCAGGTTTGAAACGCTGCCTATTTATATTGTCCAACCTGAAACCCTACTAAATTAACATATATTTTTATCTCTTCATGTATAAATAAGTTGAGTTTTAAGTTAAATTGCTTGCTATTACAGTATGCTTCCAAGCTAAGAAAAAATGACGTGAAATGTTGTAACCAAATCACCACCACAGCTGGATTCTCAAATTCAAGCGCCATGTCAGCATGGGCGTGATTGCATTGCGTACATGGCTGAACCAGAGACTTTGGCTCGTGAGTCGTCATCTCCTAAGCTTCCGATGCTGATCCCGTGCTCAGGACCACAAATAACATTGGAGACATGAAGTTTATGAGTCCCATCCTCAATTGATATGCAATCATCCCCTGCGAAATTTATATAAGAGGAAAAAAGTTCTAAGTTTAGTGAAAGTTTGAAGACATAGTGGCATATATGATGCGAAGAATCCTGAACATTTTACTTACAAGTCTTGATCTTGCAATTTGTGACCCACACATCTTTGCTCCGAGTGATGTGAATGCCGTCAGTGTTAGGGCTCGTGCCAGGTGCTGTGATGGACAACTTCGCCAGTTGCACATTGGCGCAGTCCTCGACCGACATGTGGATCTGTTGGTTATTCACAATTTTCAGATTGTCCACCTTCAAATTGGTGCAGTAGTGGAATGACAAAGCTGTTGGAGCCTCCTTGCAAGGCTGCAGAAAACAGAAGCCAATTCATGTCAGGTTAGGAGTCAGGACACTTTTTTTTCTCCAACACACGCGCGCCCGTCAAAAAATTACTGGAATGAACCGGAGCATGGGCGCCACACTTACCAGAGCCTTGTTGATCTTGCACGAGTGCGGCCACCACTTGTGTCCGTTGCCGTCGATGGTGCCACCGCCGTCGAGAGTGAGCTTGTTGACGCTTCGGAACACGATCCAGAGCCTCCTATCCCTGTCGCTCCAGTCCGCTCTGTTCGGCGACGCCACCAGCGTGCCCTTCACGGTGACCGTGACGGTGGACTTGCACGGGCCACGGAGGGTGACGACCTTTAGCAGGTAGCGCCTGCCGTTGGGGACGAGCACGACGGCCGGCCGCGGCGAGGCGCACGCCGCCTTCCACGCCCTGGCGAGCGCGCGCGTGTCGTCGTGCCTCCCGTCGCCACGGGCGCCGTAGCGGTCGAGGCTGAACACGCTCTGCGACGCCGACGACGCCAGGAACATGCTGCCAGAGCTGCACGTGTAGCTCGCGCCGGCAGCTGAGGTGTCGTTGCTCGCGCCTACTACAGCCTCGAGAGCGCCGGACAAGAAGAGCAGCGCGAGGAGGGGCAGGGGCGCCATGAACGCCGCAAGCTTCGTCGTCGGCTTCCTGGTGGATGCCATTGGCAGAGCTAAGCACAATGGACAGGCAGCAGCAGCCCGGACTGAACTGAAGTTGAAGGCAATTGTGCAGCTTGTACTTAAACTCTGATCGCAGGGGACTAGAGACAACGCAGTTGCTCAGCTTGGTGTTGGGATTGTGATGCGCGCGCGGGACGAACTAGATTCTATTCTATCTGGGGTTGCGTTGCCGTTGAAGAATCACACGCACGGACGGCAGAGTTAGGCTGGCTTGGAGTGTGCATGCATGTGGCCATGCTCGCAGGCAGACGGAAACCCGTAGATTCTTGCTTCAGGTATGCCACCAGAGGGATAAAATGAGTAATGTGACTGAATCTGAATCTGAATCTGAATATGAATCCTCGTGACAAAATTTCTCCAATTCGCATCCTTCCACCCTGCAGTTGGCACGTGTACGTCAGCACACATGTACTTTGGTTCAGGTTAAGTAGTCCAGATGATGTTACAGAACTTTCAGAAAACAACTGAACAAGGGTTGCATCCATTAGCAAAGCTTCTGGCAAAGCATATACGTGACACTAAAACTGACAGGGAAGCATGTAACTTTACTGAAGGAATAATCACATGAGACTACAACCAGCTAAAAGCTAGACGATCATGACAAAATTATAGATGGATGCTGTGCTGCCGAACTGCTCGGGTCCCTTGCCGGCCCAAACCACAGCTCTCTTCTCTGGTGTCGACTGACTCGCAACTCGCACACTACTGGAAACGATCGTGTTCCTGTCGACCTTGCACTTACAGTGTTGACATCACTCTATTAGCGTGCTGAAGCGTTTCCTCGACTAGGTTGGACACAAAATGGTTGACGCATGAGTTTTTGTATATGTATATGTACACGATATAAGTCAGAGTTTGAAATCCTGGTCGGTAATAAACAAATCGAAGTCGTCCACGCCTCCACCATGTGTTATACGCACTTGCTTTCTACTGTAGTGAAATGATGCAATAGCTGCCCGGTCGAGCTTGCTGAAAAAAGAAAATCATCAGAGGATACAATTTGAGGGGCCCAGTCCATTTTCTTTTCGGAGTGGCTAGCCCCCGAACGTCCGGACGGATGTCGTGTCCGGACGCCCGCGCCTGCTGTCCGTCCCCAAACGATAACATCAAACACGTCTGGTGCACTGAGACACACACATAGGCCCTGTTCTTCAGCACTACTTCAGTATTACTTTTTAGCGAAAGAATATTGTTTTTCTCTCATAAGAAATCAGCATCAGCAGCTGCCAAATTTCAGCGAAACGAACAGGGTCATAACAATAACGCGCGCTGGGTCCAAAACCGTCAGACACAACATTGACCGACACGACATGACACCCCATGTGACTCGACAGGACTTGAAACACTTGCGTATGCATGAACCTATAACAAATCACAAAAGTAACAATTTACTTGTACTAGTTGGTGATACAAGAGTGTTGTATGAAATCATCTTAGAATTCCGACACCTAGAATATAGAAGAAGTGGGTTTAATTGGTTCGTACAAATTTGGTTGAATTTTTCCCCACCCCATACCAAGATCCCTCGAGCCATGAGTGGCCTCCGGAGCAAGGGCTTGACCCATCCATCTAATGCCTTAGTTGAAGTCATCATGAGCCTTTGTTTGGCTCATCCCATCCTCAAACGACACTTAGGGCCTATGGGTTGGTGTCCCGGGATTGCTGCTTGGGCTAGGCAACAATATCCAACCTTGGGCCATTTGGGCCAGGCAGTTTTTCTAGGGTTCCATCCAAATAAACCCTTAGTGCCTTGATGAGATATACGAACGTGTTTTTATCATTTAGGGAGCTAAAAAAAATAGTTTGGCGAGAATATGGGACAATTGTGATAAAATTAGCAAATTTAGTATAAAAATAATTTTTTTAGACTTTTAGGGAGCTAAAACTACAGTTTGACAAATATAAATGATAAATAGTACAATTGTGGCAAAATTAGCAAGTTTAGTATAAACCGCATTTTTTAGACTATCACAAACTTGGGACAAAATAAAATTTAAAAATGCTTTGTGCTAATTTCTAGCACCATGTATATCCGCTATGTATGGTAAGGTACACGAACGTGTGTTCAGCATTTATAGGGAGCTAAAAAACAGTTTGATGAGAATATGGGACAATTGTGGTAAAATTAGCAAATTTAGTATAAAAATTATTTTTTTAGATTTTTAGGGAGCTAAAAATACAGTTTGACAAATATAAATGATAACGTAGTACAATTGTGGCAAAATTAGCAAGTTTAGTGTAAACCACATTTTTTAGACTATCACAAATTTGGGACAAAATCTACTACCATATATATACCACCTAAAAAATTGGAAGGGGTTTCGTCCAACTTCCCTGGTGTGCGCGCTCCCCTTCGTATAAAGCCTAATCGGAGTCTGATACGAGTCACCATCACCAGGCTGAGTCTGATACGGGCGGAGCCGAAGAGGCCGAGGCCGGCATGAGAACGGCCCGGCCGCGTCGTTGCCGACATAGGAGAAGGCGACGACGTGGCTGCCATGGCTGAGACCGTGAGACGGACGCTCCTCTAAATCGGAATCGAAAAAAATCCAGCGCGTGGGTGAGGCCGCCGCCGCCGCCGCCGGGCGCGGGCTCGGCAGCCGCCACCGCCGGTCGTGGGCGTGGCTGCCGCCGCCGGGCGTGGCCCACGTTCGAGCAAGAACAGGCGCCGTCGCCGCCGGGCAAAGGCCCCATGCGAGCAAGGCCAGGCGCGGCTGCCGCCCGTCGGACACAGCCCACACGCGGCCAAGGCACGGCCGCCGTCGCTGGGCAGTCCCCACACGGGAAAAGCTAGGCTGTCTAGAGCCTGCGCCTGCCGGCGAGGTCGAGGAGGGGAGGAGCACGACTAACAGCATGTACGAAGAAAGGGCCGTGGCCACTAGAGCCAGTGCGGGGACAAAGAGAGAGGAGGGGCCGCTGGTGCCTTGCGGCTTCTGGACGTAGTACACGTGAAGGAGCAAACCGACGGGACGAGAAAGAAGATAGCAAAAGCCAAGGATAGCAGTAAAATAGATATGACAAGTGGGGTCACATTTGTTTTGGACATAATGCTAAAGTAAAACTGTTCAAATTAGTATTCTTTTATATACCTTAACATGGTAAGTTATACACAGGTCCAGCTCAAATAGACAATGGGAGAGCAGGTGTGGGGCTGCTTCAGTTCCGCACTGCAATTCCACCATAGTCTAAGGAGAAGATTAGAAAATAGTTTAGGATTTCCAATGTAAAATCATCTATTAACCTTTTAATTTATTATTTTCTGAATATGATTAATTTATCTTAAACAACATAATACAGGTGATAAAAATCATGAAATGACCTTTGTATTTTTTATGTAGTTAAATTTGTACATTTTTTTAATATGTGTCGTCATAGATAGGGGCAAAATCTTGCGACCGGGCATATAAATCTAGTAAAATTTAAAAATGCTTTGTGCTAATCTCTAGCACCGCGTATATCCGCTATGTCGTGTATATACATACATGTGTGTGTATATATATTATGCATACATATACATGCATGTGCATATACATTTTTTTATGCATACATATACATACATGTGCTTATACATTTTTTATACACACATACATAGCTTGTGCCTCCCTTCCCGGGTGGCATTTTGCTAATAGATTAGTACATCTTTGAATATGATGCACGAAACATGTTTCCACGGTACGGCACTATATGGCCTACAGAAACCTTCGCGGAACGGAAATAAACGAAAATAACCTACTGCCGCTGCTGGGCCTAGGGCGACGTGTCGGCCTGCTAGCCCGCGGTTGTTCACCTCTTAGCTGGGCCTAGGCCCCTACGCCTCACCGCCGCCGCCGTTTGCTGGAGATCTCTCGCGGAGGCGCTGGCTCGGCCGTTACGTCGCCTCCAATCTGACGTTGATTGAGGATAGTTGTTGGATCAAACCGAAATCCTTCATGAGTTCACAGCAATGGAGAGCGACAGAGCGTGGCCTACTAGCCTGCTTGCCGTTCTGTTCTGACCTCCACCTCTGCCACCAGCGTCACCCGAGCGGGTGTCTGAACCTCACGTTCATTATCTTTTTTTTTCATGGCAAAGTACATTTTTTAACCTCCGACTCGCATTGAAGTTCAATTTTCAACCTTCAACTATGAAACCGGATAACAGACATCCTCTAACTGTTAAAACCAGATAAATTTGGTCCTCGACAGTTTCAAAAACGGTTTCTATTTTTTTAATATAATAATAAAAATCTATTTTGATCTCTAGAAGTTCGTAATTTTTTTAAATTACAAAAATATGAAACTTGTTCATATTTCCTTCTAAATATGTTATATATGTTGATGCTATATTTAAAATTGTTTAGGTCTTACTTGTTTTAAATAAATAACAAAGGTGACAACGAGCAATAAAGCAATAGGAACATAATAAATAAACAAATTCCAAATACCTATATATAGACCACAAATAAGTAGAGAACATTTTTAGAAAAAAAGTACTAGAGTTTCATCTAAAATAAATGCCATGACGGATGGCAATGCTACTGTAGCGACACTGTAGCCGAAGCCGGAGGAGTCCAAAAAACGAGCATCGCTCCCTCGGAACGGCTCTGTGAGAGAGAAAACGAAGAGAGAGAAAAACGGCTCGATGAGCAGGTGTCCATGCGGGACGTGAAGCAAAGGTCACAATGGAGGGAGCCGGAGCCGCCCGGAGCTGCACCAAAGGGGGCCTTACAGAGCGTGAGGAAATGCTCTCCACCCAAGTGGATTCATGTGAAAAAAATGCATCAAGCACGACGCAAAGCGTAGGATGTTCTCTGTGACATCGAACATGGATACTCATAATGTAGCTAGAAGTTGTATCTATACCGATTTAGAGAGGGCAACGGATCAGGTGGAAACCAAGCTTATGTGCAAACTTTGGAAACCATCAATCTGGACCACTGGATCTGCATCCGATGGCTTCAGAGGTGGGCGCGTTTTGCAATTAAACGCCCACAATTAGCACAC